TCGATGTTTTGAAAAAATGCAACAAAATAGAATTTGGGAGAGTAAAAAGATCAATAAAATTGGAATTTCAGAGATATCCTCTCACAAAAATAAGTATAACAACTTTTTGTTAGTCAAATAATTCTGATATAAAATTTAACAAGAATTATTGCTGTTATTAAAAAAATTCTCTTAGTAGTGGTTCCGAAAAAACACCAAGAATATGTCAATAAAAAATGAAAGATGAACGACACAAAAAACCTATTGAGTGCTTTTCTTCGACCAAAATTAAAGAAAAAATAACAAGAACCGAATAATATTTATTGTTGCTTTTTTATTATTATTATATTTGTTAGAACAGAAAGTGTTAAAAAACAACTTTGTTTCTAAAAAATGAGATCATCATGATGCAAAAAACAGTCTGGAAAAAATTAATGTGACATTGTGATTTAAAAATTACGTCAAAAACTGTCAAAGTCTTCCTTAGTTTCTGAAATTTTCGGCGTGGCTTGTTTTCATTGGAACACCCTGTATAGTTTAGAAGCTTAGAGACGACACATTATACGTTCTAGCTAAGTAACTAGATAAAAACTAATTCCATTAAGTGGATTATGTCAAATTAAATGTAATTAAACTTGATCTGATGGGAGTATATTAATGTTGTCACACGTAGGGCTTCTCCTAAATTTATACATTGTACCAACATATTTTCTAAAATCCCCCTGCTTTGCGTAATGATTATTAAAAAACATTTGCATAAATAGCTTCTAACAGGTGGGCATTACGGGTTTAAAATTTGAAATTATGCTCATCTAGGGCAAAAAGTCTCTTAATTTATTAATGCACAACATGCACATCAACTTCAGAGGGTTTACTAGTCTAGTGGAATGCCAACATAATGAACTAATGAGGGGGCTTAGTGTGCATCAACTTTCGACAGGAGGGTCCATTGGTGATATAATTAATAATGAGGGTGTTATTGGGGCTTTAGGGAGGTTGGGTATCGTCTGAAACCGCTAACCTGCGTGTCGAGAATCTCCTAGTGTTCCATTTACTGCCTCCTGGTGGATTTATGAAGACATGTCGTAAAATTATGATCATATTAATAATTCGCCATGTGAATATTGGCAAGATGATGTATTGGAAGGTCTTAGAAGTTTGGTACTTGTGGAGTTTGGGGAGAATAGTCGTTGATTTGCAAGGAAATTTAATAGGGTAGGGACGGGAAACCTTTACTACTTATTAAAGCAACAGATTTTTCTATATTGTTGATTCCAACACATCTTAATCTTCAAAAACAAAGTCAGAAGCTTTACCTAGAAATTTATTGTCATTAAAAGAATTGCAAAAATTGAAGAACCACCGAAGAAGCTGAAAAACTGGAGCTTTTTCTAGAAATGTAGCTTTAGTAAGAAAATCCGACAGAATTGTTGAAGAAAACTGGAAGATAAATATTCAAAAACCAAATTAGAGGTTACAGTAGAAGATGTTTCTTCTCAAATTGAGGATTTAGAAGCACACAATTTTGTAAAAGATTCAGTCAAAAAGGAAACTTTCTATGAGATTGAAAATCTTGAATCAGACCAGTTGCAGTTTTCTTCTGAAAGATTTCTTCTAAAGATTTAGAAACGGAAGTTTTTCGAAAATCTGACAAGTCGGGGAGTGTTGAAGCAAAAAAAGTCTTGAAGAAGATAAAGAAGATAGCAAAGAAAAGTGTCGTTTGTCAAAATCGTTGAAGAAATTTTCACTCAAATCAAAGATATTTCCGCAGATAAAGAAGTGAAAAAAATATATAAAAAGGAAAAAATGTTGGAAAAATGGTTTGAAAATTAAAGAAAAAACATGTTTAAAAAGTCTTGAAAAAGATAAAGAAGATAGCAAAGAAAAAGTGTCGTTTGTCAAAATCGTTGAAGAAATTTTCTCTCAAATCAAAGATATTTCCGTAGATAAAGAAGTGAAAAAAATATATAAAAAGAAAAAAATGTTGGAAAAACGGTTTGAAAATTAAAGAAAAAACATGTTTAAAGGAAAAAGAAAAAGAGAAAAGAAAGGAAACAAAAAAAGAGACAAGAGAAAACAAAGATAATAAAAAACAGACTGTACCTAGTATAGTTCAGGAATAAAAAGAATTTCTTACTTTTTATTCAAAAACTTAATTTTTAATTTGCTAAAGTTACTAAATTAAATCAAAAATGTTTATTTTTTTAAATGATTAAACACTAGCTTTTTTACGAAAATTTTTAAGAAAATCGGCGTAATTGTTTTTGTTGTGACTACTAAAAAAATCCTCCTCAAACAATAAAATTTAATAAATTGCAAAGCAAAAAAATAAAAAAATATTTGTATAAAATTCTTAGGTTTTATGGCCCCAAAAATTCTTGTGTTTAAATGTTAACAAAGTCCTGATTAAAATTTCGCAATTTTTTTATCACTTTCTTTGCATTAATTATCAGAGAAAAGTCTTGAAGAAGATAAAGAAGAGAGAAAAGAAGAAGTGTCGTCTGCTAAAATCGTTGAAGAAATTTTCACTCAAATCGAAGATATTTCCTCAGATAAGGAAGTGGAAAAAATATATAAAAATAAAAAAATGTTTTAAAAATGGTTTGAAAATTATAGAAAAAAATATGTTTACAATATACTAAAAGAAAAAAGAAAAAGAGAAAAGAAAGGAAACAAAAAAGGGACAAGAGAAAACAAAGATAATAAAAAAACAGACTGTAACTATAGTTCAGGAACAAATCGAATTTTTAATTTCTTTATTCAAAAACTTAATTTTTCTAAAAAATGTGCTAAAGTTTCTAAATTGAATCGAAAATGTTAATTTTTTCATATGTTTAAATAAACACTATCTTTTTCCAAGAAAATTTTTAAGAAAATCGGCGTAACTGTTTTTATTGTGACTACTAAAAAAATCCCCATTAATCAATAAAATCTAATAAATTGTAAAAGTAAAGAAACAAAAAAAATATTTGTTGCATATAATTTTTAGGTTTTATGGCATCAAAAATTCTTGTGATTGAATATTAGCAAAGTCCTCATTAAAATTTTGCAATTTTTTTATCACACTCTTTGCATTAATTACCGGAGAAATTTTTTTACCATTTATTATAGTTGTAATAAGATTAAACTTATTGAACCAAAAAAAACTAAAAGTAAAAGAAAACAAATTAAGAGAGAAAAAAACTAAAAAAAAAAGTGAAAAGAAAAAAGAACGAAAACGAAAAAAAGATGTAGAGAAAACAGAAATAACAAGAAATATTCGTTAAAAAACAGAAACAAAACAAATTTCTTTTTTTATTCAACGTTTTCTTTGATTAAATAATTGTTGAGGTTTATGAGAACAGTAATTTATATTCTTTTTTGAATAAAATTTTCCGGGACACCGGTGTTGATGAGAAAACTTCAGAACAAAACCGCATTACTTTCTAATAGACAAAATAATTGTACCTCAAAGACATTTTAATAAACTTGAGCATCAACGCAACAGTTTAACTACTTAAAGAAAATTTTAAGTCCCTTGAGGCAGAATACGTGTCAAAATGATGTTAATAAAATAACTTCTCTTCAAAGCCATTAACTGATATTTCGTTAATTTTAATTATTTGAATCAACAAGAAGCTTATCTTTAAATATTTATTAAAGTACCTAGTTTTTGAATGGAAATCAATTGAAGATAAGAGATTGTGATGTTTTAAATTAACAAAGTTTGGAAACTAATTTTCCTGGAATATAAATGTCCCGATTTAGGTATTGTGAATAAACCTATTATATCAAAGTCTGTTTAAACAATTTCCATCAAGATATCAGATCCATTTATTTGAAGAAAATGTTTTGAAATTTTGTAATTAGACTTTCTGAAGTATTTTTGGTACTAAATCTACCAAAAAATTGTGACGTTTTTTTCAAACATAAAAAAATTAATATACGTTTTAAAATGATTATTTTAATTGAAATTGAAGAGCAAAAATTTGAGAAATAAACCACTTCTTATTATCAGAAAAACTCAATGACTTTTTTGTAGTTAAAAAAATAGTGCAAGGTTAGTAAAACCTTTAGAAGGTGAGATAAAACATGTTTGGTCTCTGAAAGTTGTTTCAAGTAAATTAAGTGTTTTCAGGGCAATAATCTTGTTCAAAAATTTATTAATAATGATAAAATAAAAAACACATTGATATTAACACTCTATTTAATGAACTTAAAACGACTACATTCAACATTTCTTGCAAATTGTTAATTTATTTTTAAAATTTTTACTGTGCCACAATCACAATTTTTTTACCAAAACTATTTTTGTTCATTATGTTTTGTATTATTTGTACTTGRAAGATAAACCCTGTTTGTATATTTTACTAATTTTGTACATTTTTAACCAAAGTGTTTTATTTTAATTGAAAATTTCTAGTACATAGCCCAAAATGCAATAAAAGAAGACTTTTCAAAAATTTCAAAATTAAATAATCAATTGCGATTTTGTTGCACAATTCTTTTAATACAATTTTGACGACTTTAGAACAAGAAGAGAAAAAAAGCGGATTGAAGCACACTTGAATTTTTACGAATTAAGTAACCACAAAAAGTGGTGTCTCAAAAAAATTACAAGAATATGAACATCATATTCAACGTTTAAAATAAAGAAAAATTTGAGATAATTGTTTTGAAAAGGTTAGTAGTTAGAAGTGACTAGTAATATCTCTGTCTTTGTCAAGCACCCGCAATTTCTAATATTTACTTTCTCTCTCTAATCAACTAAACTAAAAACTATTGTTCGAATAAAATTTTAAGATAATTGATTTAAAGAGGTTACTATTTATTATCCTTTTTTTAATTTTTAACGTCCTCTAATTAGAGTTAAGTTTTTAATTAGACTAGTTTTTCTTCTAAAAAAATGAGAATAAAATTATTGAACCGCCTTTATTTCATCAAGTTTGTACAATAACAAGTTCAGGGCTGCACTCTACTCAAAATTAAAGTTTTAGGGTCGTAGGTATAAATGGGGGCTGTTATCGGTTCCACATCCTCGTATTTCACCTGCGCTGTATAAGCCTTAGTTCTTTCATCTTTTTTAGTGGAGTAAACAACCTTCTGGAGTTGACCAGTGGGATGATAAATGTAATAAACTCCTCTTTCCGACCCTTTTGTCAGTCTCCCACTTTGCGTCCCATTTACAACCTCAGATTGAGGTTCTGTCGTTGTTGGAATTTCGGTAGTTGTCCCTTCAGTGGTGGTTTCTTGAGGTGGAGGTCCATACTCTTGAGGAGGAGGTCCATATACGGTGTGAGGCACTTGCTGTCTCTGAAACCTCGAGTTAAACCTAGGTTTAACTGCAGAGACGGCAACAATGCAAGCGAATGCAACGATGATGAACTTCATTGTAGCTTTGACTGAAGTTTGAAGACATTTTCACGCTTTTATATCTTGATGGATTATGAAAATATTGATTTCAACACAACGTTTGCCAAAATAATTCAAACACATGACGGTTAAGGTGTCCAGTCGAAATTAATTGAAGGACGTGTGGCGTCCTGAATTTTAATCATTTTATTGATTTGGTTTTATTTATTTTGTTTGTTTGGTCTTAATTAAGGTTTTGACGTTAATCGTTTATTTTGCTCAACACACAATTTTGTGATAATTTCGTATTTGCATGAAAATTGTGTTGCTCCTTTAAGTTGGAGCGTTTGTCTTCGTAATATTCCTATTTGCATTCAAAATTACGCGTATTCTATTGTTTTATGCAATGTAGCTGAATTACGTGATGGAAATCTAATTTCGTGTTATCTAAGTCGGTTTTTTAACAGAAATGTGATACAGTTTTAGCAAAAAATCAAATAAATAAATCAATTAAAAATAAAAAAATATTGTTAAGAAGGTTTTGGAAATTCTAGAAATGTTACTTTAATAAAAAAACTGACAAAATTTATTTCTTCTCAAATTGATGATTTAGAGAATAAAACAATAATTTTTTTTATATCAAAAGTTGACGAAGACGAGTTGCAGTTTTCTTCTAAAAAATTAGAAACGGAAGTTTTTAGAAATCTTGGAAAGTTGAAGCAGAAAATAAAGAAGATAGCAAAAAAATGTCGTCTGCTAAAATCGTTGAAGAAATTTATTTTTAAATTTCTTCTGATAGAGAAGTGAAAGAAAAAAATATACAATAGCTGAAATCGAACCTCAAATTATTGAAATAGTTTAAAAATTAAAGAAGAAACATGTTTGAAAAAAAATAATAAAAATTAAAGAAAATAAGAGAGAGAGAAAAAAAAACAGCAAAAAATAAAGATAATAAA